CGGCCCACTGCCCAATTGAAACGTGCGGCGAGATCGATCGATCGTTACTAGGCGCGCAGAGAGTTGTAACGATCGATCGATCTCGCCGCACGTTTGAATTGGGCAGTGGGCCGGCCTAAGACAGCGATTTTTAATAATTAATAACTCGCTGACTTTTGCGAAAATTGCAAAATGGTAGAGGACTTTTCGACTTAGTCTAGTCCACTCTGTCCCACAATAAGCGTTGATGCGGGTATTACATAACACCCTATATACCTATGTATGTGTTACACGAAATTATATTTTAGCGATCGACGAATGGAGACACAAATAATATAATAATAAAATTGTATATATAGTAAATGTATATATGTAACCAGTTATTGCAATGTAATAATAAGTTTATTATAAAAGTTTCATGCAACGATAATTTATGCGACTAAATGTGGAAAAGCGATCACGTATTAATATTACAAAATCATTATATAAAGATAAGGATTGTTACATTTTGAACGAAACAACGTAAATAATAAAAATAGAACAATAAAAGATTCGATTATAACAACTGCATCTGTGTATATTATTGTGTCTGAATATTTTATTTATTTTATTACTTTATTATTCGGGATTTTCTGTTGATTATTTAAACTATTTACGACAATCTCGAATGATTGAATATTGTACAAACAATACAACCAATTTAACACGATCGGTTTTGTGTTAAATATTAAAATGAATATACTAATAATACCTACATTATCACGAGACACGGTAGTGTCTCACGCCAAGTATAAGCGACAAACCTAACCACGCGCGCGACACCGACCGTGTAAGTTTACGCGAGTACACGAGTTGACGGGCCCTCAGATTTTCGGATCTCAACAACGGCTGATCCGACGAACTTGAGACTGCGCTTAATGGATAGCTTGGGTACGATTTGCATAATAAAAGTGTTTTTATTGATACGCTAATGATTATATTACATGATCGAACTAGCCGAGTGTATTAATTTTTTACAAAGAAATCAAACAATTGGCAGTTGACTGCAGTATTTATTAAAATTTATTAATTTTGAGAGAATAAATTGCAGAATTTATTAGAACCCTGATGGAAAAATTTTGCTGAAAACGTAATGAAATTTTGCTGAAATTTGATTGAAAATCTCTTGCAATTGAACCAATTTCATTATCATTTCAGCAATTTTTCATTAAAAAATTTATTTTCAGTGAAATTCTGCAAATTTTATAATATACATTTCAAAAATGTTTTCACTAATTTTTAATAATATTAATTAACTTTCATCTAATTTCACAGTATTTCATTGAATTTCATAACGAAACTTATGATTTATTTTGAAATGGTTTCAACAAGCTTCTCCAATATAACTTTCATTTCACTTTTCATCAATTTCATTACATTTTCAGCAAAATTTTTCCATCAGGGAATTTATTAATTTTGAGAGAATAAATTGTTCTAACAAAATATTCTTTTTCGAATGAAACGTTCAAGCTAAACTATCTGTCTTTATTCCAGTTGTTCTTTTTCATCAACTTTAAAACCAAACATGTATACAATAGATTCTGTGCGAGTGCGAGTGAGTGAGTGCGTGAAAAGTGAGTGTGAGAGAGAGAGAGAGAGAGAGAGAGAGAGAGAGAGAGAGAGAGAGAGAGAGAGAGAGAGAAGAGAGAGAGAGAGAGAGATTCAAACATAACCTCAATTTCTACCGCATTTGACAGTAGTCGATACAAACGACACGGAGACCAATAATTTGCTCCATTGGACTTATACTAACATTTAATAATAGAAATGTAGCATATCCGATACCGGTAAGATAATAAACGAATTTTGCATATCGCTAAGACGTGGAGAATAACGAACATTTTAATATATTATTTCAGAGAGGTGTTATTATTCTTGGTTACTCTGTCCACGTCGAGTTACCTATTTCAAGAGACTCCAAATGGCACCGTTAACGGATTTACTTTCCTGCAGTGTAATCGGTACGCGCGGTTCTATCTAGTCTACGCTTATATTTGGCGCAATACCCTACCGTGTCTCGTAACAACACTTTTATGATGGACATTGAAGTCCACACATGATGGACACGTTCGTCTTGTAATCGAGAATAAACAATTGCAGAGAAAGACTGTAACGGGGACGTCTTGTGGACGTGGTCCTATCCAGCGGTCACGGAGTCTCAGAAGACCGTCGTGACGAGAAAGTGCAACTTAAAGTCGGAGCACACGTCCCCCCACGTATTCGTGTGCGCGAGACACGGCCACGACTGGTTCTACATACACTGCAGCGAGGTGTTTGACTCTGACAAACTGCCGAAGGTGGGCAAACTCTGCTCGCCTCGCTAAGGAAATATCGACTGATCTCTTTCGCAAGGTCCTCCCACACAGCAAAACAAGTTTCAGAAAGCTTTCCGAAAGATAACTTGAAAATTAATATTGAAATGTAAAATTGAAATCATTCAGAAATATCTTTGAAACGTTTCATCAAAATCGCATGTCATTGAAAGCTTTCCAAAAGGTATCTTGGAAATTAATATTGAAATGTAACATTGAAATCATTCAGAAGTATTTCTGAAACGTTTTATCGAAATCATTTATGATCCTTCTCACTGAAATATTTCAGAAATATTACAAAACATTTCAGAGAAATATTTCGTATGTAATCTCTAAAACATATGTTATTGAAAGTTATCCAACATATAACTTGGAAATTAATAGTGAAATGTAAGATAGAAATCATTCAGAAATATTTCTGAAATGTTTCATCGAAATCATTTATGATCCTTCTCACTGAAATATTTCAGAAATATTACGAAATATTTCTCTGAAATGTTTCTATTTTTCTATTTCTATAAATGTTTCTATTTCTCAGAAATATTGCGAAACATTTCAGAGAAATATTTCGTACGTAATCTCTTAAACATATATTATTGAAAGCTATCCAACATATAACTTGGAAATTATTATTAATATTGAAATGTAATATAAAAATCATTCAGAAATATTTCTAAAGCATTTAAGAGATATTTCCGAAGAATTTAAGAGATATTTCTGAAGCATTTCAGAAATATTTCCGAAGCATTTAAGAGATATTTCTGAAGCACTTCAGAAATATTTCAGAAACATTTATGATATCTCATCTACGCGGACATTTCATGTATCTGAAACATGTCTGAAATATTTTTTTAAGGTTTCCTATTTCATTGACAGCTTTTTCAGAGCTTTCTGAAATATTTCGGTGCTGTGTGGGTTATCTCGATTCTACGTGATTTCAAACCAGGTCCCACTTTCTGGCTGTAAGCTAAAGTGAATAAAAGTTTGATTGATTGATTGATTGATTGATTCTACGTAATTTCCCAGTCGGCAAAGTGTCAGCAGACTGGCGGCAGATTTATGAGAAACCCGCACAAAAATCACAGCCATCTGTGTCCGCATTTGGCTTTCGTTTTGGTTCGACGGAGTCTAAAACGCAACAGGTCGACAGAAACCGAGCAGGTCCAGTTATGCGAGCAGACTTTGTTGCATTTCTGCTGGCAAGATATCGAATAGATCAGTTCTCTGTGCAAACTGTAGTCTTTCTGCCTTCAGAATTTCTAGTGTTTGATGTTCTCACAGATTTGGCCAACTGGGTTCTGGCTTTTGTGTTTAAACGCTCATTCTGGTTTAGAAAATCGAGATACAACCTCGCGAAAGAGATCATTCGATGTATATGTGTATATATAAAAGCCTGTCTTGATTTTCTCTCGCAATTGTCTCAGGTGAAACAGTTTGCGCTGGTGCTCTTTGCCAAGGATTTCAATCCACAGAAGTACGAGGTGCTGTCGCGGGTTCTCAGCAAAATGTATTGCAAAACCGGTAAACCCACGGAGATCTTGCAGCTGTACCTGTCTGTGTTCACGAAGGGCTCCTGTTCGACGCAGGAGAACGGAACGTTTGTCTCGGACGACTTCAACACTCATTGTTTCGCGGCCAGCACCAACGTCAGAGAACTGATTAAGACGTTCGAGTTGGAAACAATTTTGATATACACCGCCCTCTTGCTGAAGAAGAAGATTGTTGTGTATCATCACAGTCTGGAGCAGCTTCTCAAGTGGATAAGAACATTCCCAGCGTTGATGAAGCATAGGAGAGTCACTGACAATCTCTTTCCCTGGATCGACTTGGTAAACGACGAGTTGATCGAACTCAAGGCACGTGTTTTATAAAGGAATGCATCTTTGCCCGGGAAAGAAATGGAAATATTACATTATATATGTCTGAATCGTGTAATATTTAATTATATCCAATTCTAAAATCACCAGATCTTGAGAGATTGACACCTTTACTGAATATTCGATGTTATTATCTATTGAGATCTAATTAAATGTCCTAATAGAGTTCTAATCCCAGATAATAACATCGAAAATTCAATAAAAGTATCAGATTTCTATTAGAATATTTAGGCCAGTATTCATCGTCAGAATTTATATTCAAGACTGTCTCAAGATCCTCTTTAGATACTTCGTAGCCAATGAAATGTTCCATACAGCTTTAGATCTTTAGGTAAATTCAAGATCCGACTATAAATATCGGTTTTAATTAGATTTAGTTGGATCTCATTAGATAACTTCGAACATTCAAGGAAAGTGTCAAAGATCTAACGATTTTTGGATCTCATAAGATATAATTAGATATTACACGAGACGTATATAATAAGATTTGTTTCCATTTCTTCCCGGGTGATAGTACGAAATGCTCTCTAAAGAAAATGACTTCATCTGACAATCACTGTTACAGAAATATTCGCACTACGTGGCAGGCTGCAGTAACAGCTCGATATCATCAAGAACAGATCTGTACGATCTGCTCGTAAACATTCCTGCCAGAGAGATTACCGTAGCGCCGCATGCCAAAGGTAACAAAGAAGAGAAAGAGAAAATTGTAATCTACTTTGCTTGCACATCTACAAAACATAATCTACATTCAATTCCGCTTCCCCCAGAGAGTCTCACAATGACGAAGACCCACAAGGAAATAGCCCTGTTTATGGTCCAACTGTGCGAGAATCAAAGCTACACGGAGGCGCAGGTTATATCCGAGATAAACGACAAAACGCAAGATCTTCTGAACCAGTTGACCTCGTTAGCGACGTTGCAAGCACCAGATGGCAAGCGAATGATCTCCGTCGAGATATTTAAGGAGAAAAGCTTGGCGCCGGCTGTAGAGAGTTTTCTCATCAATTTAGCCATTGCCGAGAATCTCTTTGTATTATGATAACGTTACAAACCAAAGTCTCCGAGCGTATCCATTAAGGTCCGGTTTTTCATTTGCTTTTTTTGGTTTTCCCCCCAACCGCTAAGTTATTTGGTGTGTCTTCTCGTTCTTAATGTCTTTGGCTACACAATTTTCCCGGTTCTTTTAATGAATTGATAGATAAGCGGTTTTTCATTTACTTAAACGAATTGATTGAGTGTTATCTAGGGGTTAGTCGATTATCTATCTCTTCTTAGATAATAATATAGAAAAAGATAGAGGGTCGACTAACCTCTGGTTAACAGTAAATCGGAAAATGAAACACCGGGCCTAAGTATCTCTTTCTTCTCGTTTTCTACAAGTATGTCTTACATATATTGAGATGTAAGCATTCATTGTTATATTCCACCAACATTTTACGCTCATTTGTTACTCCTTACCCAGTAAACGCCCAATAAAAGTAAAAGTTACGTAACATCAATATTATAATTTCCTATTCAACAATGCAAATGTAATATAACATGCGTGTTATATTGCGTTTACACTGTTGAGTGAGAAACTATAATATTGATATTATGTAACTGTTGCTTGGTGTTCAATGGGTTATTCTTACTCGACGGCCTGAACCCTCGATAATATTATATATTGATACTGTTATTTATATTTTTAAGAAATATTTATGTACACAAAAAATACTAAGTCTACACTTCTCTTTGTATGATTCTCTTTGTATTCCTAAATATAATTATTACAATATTATATATAAATTAAATATAAAATATTTTTTGCCAATATATGTCAATATCCAACTTCTTTTATGCATGTCATTTGTAATTGAAGTTTCAATCCCTTTACGCCCTCGTAATTTTGTAAAATCACTGTCGTTTAAACTTTTCGTCGGTGTTTCGTACCTTTTATGATTGCGAGATACACGATTGAATATGTATATGCGTTATCTTAAACAAAGTGTGGGATACAATTAATATTTTTTATAAAAGTTACAAATATTTTTATGCATAACAAATGTTTCCTCGTACGCTGGACTGCAAAGTTAAATATTTTAAGTTAAAGGCCAAGAATTAAATAAAACAGACGCGTCTATTCAAATGCAACGTGTCGCAAAATCGGCGATTATACGCGTCTGATTGCATATTTAATATTACATATTTTGTAATTTCTATAATTATTAATTTAAAATTTAAAATAAATATAACAAAGTTAAAATAAAGTACTATTACAATGTACAATATTCCTAAAAATTATTTCAGTATAATTTTACTTATATCTCCACTAAATTATAGACTTTTATTAAAAGTATTTTTATTAAAAATACAGTAATAACAAATATAATTATATTTATTAGTATTATATAATATGTTTCATAATACAATAATAATAAATATAGTTATATTCATTATTACATTGCAGTTATATATAATTATGTCTCCCTGTCCCTGCCCACCCGAATCTCTATCTACCCGCATTCCGATATATGGTTCTTGCCTATCCATTTTCCTGCCTACCCGCGTTTCAACTTAATAAACTTACAAGTCTTTCGTTGAAACCGCGACGCAATTTATTAAGTCCGATTTGGGGCTATAATGAGCGCGCAATTAGGATTTAATCTTATCAATCTCGCACACATGCGAGAATGTATGTGTAAAGAAGAATAACCCACCCGAACTTTGACAAGTGAAAAGAAATTAAATTATTTCGTCTACCACCTTACTTCTATATTGATCACTTAGCTCGTCATCCCAGATAGCACAAGACACTTCTATGAACATTTTAAGAATATTTTTCAAGAATACGTGGAACATTCCATAGGTCATTCTTATATATTTATCTCATGTTCGTAGAATATTCGACTGGCACTACTAGAAATCTTTTTCGAATGTGAACAGAATAATCTATATCGAATATAGCGTGTCGGTTATACACGATATGATCACAGGTTTCACTGCCTTTTGCATGAGACAAGTGTATTACACAATAAACAATGTGCAATGCATAAACTCGATGAATATTAAAAAAATATTCTGAATTTGAATATACGATTTCTAATTGTAACAATCTATATATATTTATACAATATTTGATTGAAATATTCTGAAAATAAGAATGTTTGCACTCCAGAAGAATATTCATAGAACTATAGGTGCGCTATCTGGGATATTCAGTCTTTTTTCGTTGGGCCAGATTGGACCTACCTTTCGTTGCTCCTGGCCATACAGTCTGGTCATTTTGACCAGAGATCAGGAAGGAAGAAAACTTTTCTCCTTCCATAGTCGGTTATCGTCACCGACAAATATTTCGCACGGTTCGCATACACGATCGAGTGTCGATCGTATCGAAAAATCCACGACCACGAGAAGTTAATTAAAGAGGAATAAAAAAAATTTTTTTACTCACCGACCCTATGCGCAGCAGCGGAGTTTCACTACGTCGATCCTGTAACATAAATTATAACGTTCATATTAAAATGGAGAATTCAAGGAAGCCAATATTAAAGAAAATAATTTTTAAATTATTTAAAATGATCAAGAGGAAGATTAATTTTATACGAAATAACAAATGCTTACCCTAAAGTTGCTCCGCCGATGCCCGATGTCTTCTCCAGGCCTTCTCCAGGCCTTCTCCTCCACTCAGGTTGTCTTCTTGCACACTCGCGAAAGCACAAAGATCGTTCGCACGATTTTACACTTTCAGTCTTTAGTCCAATTACGCAAACGGCACTCCCGAACGCGACGCGACACGACGAACCGGCTGCGGTTCGTTTAAATGGCCAGCGATACGATAACGAAAATTAACGGTCTGCGGTAATAATCCTCAAAATTGGCGCTGAAATTATAAAAATGAATAAATCAATTAGTATAAAATAGATAAATGATTAACATACATATTTCAAAGGGCTCGCAATGAGACTCGCTCTCTCGCCCGCCATAATTCAGAGACGTATTGTTACGAGTACCAACAATTTATAGAGGAAAGTCCCCTATTATGAGCGTAAAACGACTTTTAATGCGAGACAGCAAGTTTTCAGCGTTGAAATTCCTTCGCAAATCTTTATTCGTATTCGTGTTACGAGCCTCCTTCAAGTATTATACAATTTAGAAAAGACAAGACTATTAAGATAGTTATTAATAAAACCGGATATGAGTCGGCAAAATCAAGAAATCGCGCGATCAGTTAATTCCGCGAAACAATGAGCAAGATTTCGAACGATAATGCCAATGCTCCCCGCTTAACGCGTTTGAAAACAGACGGCCGGCTAAACGGGAATCGCAATCGTCAGCAACTCCTTTCTGATTGGTCCAGAGACAATCGTAGACGCAAACGCGAACACAGACGCAGTCGCCAATGGCTAGTGTGATATGGGCATAAAGCGCCGGAATCAACCGAGCGAAAACAATATCAAATGAACCGCCGGCCGCTCTCAGGTCTCTCTCTGCTAACAGACAGAAAAAGAAAAAAAGCCGTGATTCGGCAATAACGTCGCGCGCGGTTCCCGCGGAGTCGGCGCCGCGGCGGCGCGTCTCGGGGCGCGCAGAGCCGAGGACCCGGCGCGAGAGACGAACGAACGGGCGCGCGCTTCGCCGCGACTCGCGCGCCCCCACGCCCCGGACGTGTCGCCGGGTCGCTCGCTTGACTCGCGCGTCAGCGGCACGCCATCTTTCCCTCGGTGGCCGCCTCTCCTATTCCGGTACACGCGGTGCGAGGAGTCGTGGCCTGGGCGCACGGTTATCGCGCGTCAACGGTGCTCGAACGCCAGGAAGCCGCAACGCGGAGCCCCCGGAGCCGGTGTTTATGGTGGTGCTGCAGCCGTAACCGCGGGACGGAAACATGGCGCGTTACGGGCAGAGACCCGAGAACGCCCTGAAGCGGGCGAACGGTAAGTCGCGGGGGTTCCGCCTCACGTCCTACGTCGAGCGTGACATGGCCGATGGTGGCATCGCGGCACCCGTGGCGACGGCGGAGGCTCGCGCGCGAGCCTCCGCGCGGAGGGCGCGCGGCTTTGGTCCCCGCCTCGCCGCTACCGGTCGCGGGGACGACCTCGGGGCGCCGACGCGCGGCGCCGCACGGCGCCCGGGAAATCGGCGCGCCGGTCCAAGGCTGTCCGGTTTCCTCGATGGAGCCCCAACGGCCTCTCCTCTCTCTCACTCTCTCTCTCACTCTACTTCTCGCGCGACCATATGCATTCGCGTCGGACAGACCCTGCGAGGGTGCGGAGAACCGCGATTTACTTGGGAATACCGCGCGAAGCGCGTAGAGCCGGTGCTTCGCTCGGTCTCTTTGCACCGCGCGAGAACGCTCGGGAATAGAAGTCTCTAGGGTACCATATTTCGCCGCGTAAATCTCGTGCTTTTCAGCGCCGCACGTGCACTTTGCTGTTAATTGCTTTTGTCTTCTGTACAGGTTCCTTGGGTTCTCTTGTATTTCAGTGCCGCACCTTGTTTGTTATATAAGCGAGACGGGCGTCAAATTTGCCAGTTTTTTCCTTTTTTTCCCCCCCTCGAACGCCTGGATTTACGAGTTTACCTTGAGGCAAAGTGACACGGTGCAGCTGGTTATACTTTTGACGGATTTAAATTGATCTTGGTCCTCAGAGTGTTAGATCCTACTGCACATATTTAACGACTCTTGTAGCATAAGAATTTTCATTGTTAATTGTGAATGCGGTCTACAATTTTGTCAAAGCGTTCTCTTTCTTCTTCCCCTCGAATGCCTGGATTTACTTCGAGCTCTGGCAAGATGACACAGTGTAGCTAGTTATATAGTTATATAGTTTCAACAGATTTGAATTAAAAGATAAAACAAGGGGCTCAGAGCCTGAACAGGGTAGCAGTGTCCAAAAATAAAATTTAAGTAATAAAAAATGTATACGTTTCGGTCCTCATTGGACCATCTTCAGTATAACAAAATTATTTACAATTTAAAACATCCATAATATAAGTTAAATTACCATAGAGAATCGCAATTGGTGTTGCTCGAATGTATAAAACGGGCCTGTCTAAAGGTTTCGCAGTTAGAACATTTTAAAAGTGTATAATAGCACAGACATAAACTTCGTAATCTAACATACAAGAAGTGTAATATATTGTGAGACAGAAGTGCGCAAACAACCACGCGAATAAGTTATTCGTCTTCATTTAACAAAAGCACGAGCCGTGCCGAACAGTGTGGATGACGTTACAATAATGAATAATGATTTAAGTTAATCTTGGTCCTCAGC